GCCATAACGATTAACCCATTTGGAAAAGGTTGTGATTCACCCGCTAAATTTTCTTGCCATTTGATGAATTTAGTAAACTACCGGAACTTATAAAATAGTTATCAATATCAACGATCGATTTAGACCTTGCCATGGAATATTTAATTGCCGATGCTACTAAATTTATCACTGACACATATTTTAGATGCCGTGTTCCATAAATTACATCGACTGCCACAGCACATTTAAATAACTTCTCGCCTATGAATTGATTTTCATTTTCATTTTCATTACGAGTAAGAAATTCTATAAATTTTACAATAACTGGATTTCATTTACTAAGCCAACAAGAAGGAGAATAATTTAAAAGACTATCTAAATGAAAACGATTATGATCTTCCATCAAATTAGTTATATCTTCATATAAATTATTTCGCTCTTTTTTGGCAATATCAATTATAGCTTCGATACGATCCTGCTGACTATTAAATCTTTCTTTTAATTTTTTTTTTAATAACTCATTTTCAGATAATAACTGTCTATTAATACGTTAATTTTTGTTAAAAGTTTATTATATTCAGGATCAGGTAAAGATACTTGAACTTCGAAATCACAAGAATTATGCAATTTATTATTTTTTTTCTAAGTCTAGAAAAATTTGATTATTTGCTTTTAATTTATTAAGCAAAGATGTTTTAGCAACGAGGTTATTATAATGTGTTTGGCATAGGGAGTAATTATTTAAAGAATCAAGTAATAAATTTAATTCTGAAAAATATTGGGCCAAAATTGTAATTTTCTTTGCTGCCGCCGTGGATGATGCATTTCTCCATCTTTGCTTTTCATTAATTCCACATTTTAATAGATCGTTATTTGGATATTTAGCAGCAAGAAAAACGAATATACAAGGTAAATCTTTAGCTTCTGTTTCTGAAGTAACATCTGCTTGTGAAGTCGTCATTACTTATTAATGTGTATAGTTAAAAAACAAAAATAGTTCGCGAAGACTTGTAGATATACTTATAATATACATTTATTTGTCTTATAAATTTCTTTTTACAATTCAATTATCGCTATTTTGAACTAGTGCGATAAATAAATTTTGTAAACTCTGCATGTTATTATTGTTTTAGCAACAATAGTAATATGCAGAATTCATCAAATTCATTTATCGCACTAATTCAAAAATAGCTAATATAATTGCGAATTACAAATATTCCAACTTCAAGTTTGACAAGTTTGACTAGCATCAAACCTAATCAAATTATCACCAGAGCCGACAGTAATGTTTTTTCGCATTTATAAACTGATAAATTTAGTGTAGTTGCTCTTCTACGGATATCTAATGGCAAATTTTACTATGCCAAAGTTGATGTAATGCCTACAAATTATTAGGATATTGTATAAGCGACTTATTTAGTATTACTTTCATTACTATGAATTTCAATGATAAAAATATTTATTACAAAGTACTTACTAAGACGATTGAACTATATAACACGAACCAAAATCAGTAAATCGAGGAAAATTGAAAAAGAGATCGAAAATGAGATGAATTTGAATATGAAAAATATACACTATACCGCAAAATCACAATGGTATTATTTTATGTCCACGCATGTTATTTTGAGTTAAGTATCAATTGAGTATGCTCATGCATGTTATAATGAGGTGCTTCATTTTGGGGAACTATTTTTATAACATCTCGACACGAATTTTATGGTATAGCACAAATAAGAGATAAATCGAAATAACCCTCATTTATATATAATAGCGAAATATTTAAAGGTAAATTTTAGTAAGCTTGAACTGCTAAAATCAACAAGAACATTGTTGTCAATTGGACTAATTGGACCCAATAATTAGATCAATTGAACACGTTCCAAGTGGTCCGATTTCCGAGTTTAATTAGTCCAATTGACAACACTAACAAGAATGAAATAAACCTGCCGTTGAAATTATATAACACAAAGCAAAATAATCTAAATTAATAACCTAAAATTCTAAAATAATTGGTATGTAAGTAAATTTAAAGGAACTTAATACATAACTAAGGCAAACAGAGAAACTTCTCTAGGTGCACCTCTCCAAGTGCACGACCTTTTTAATTGCAATGAAATTCAGACCCGAATATATACTGGACCTCTACAAATGCACTTTTCTTATAGTTCTCTAAGTGCACGTTGTTAAAAGTCAAGCCTCTATAGTGTGCATTTAAAAAGATCTAACTGTATTTTACGTTTGTTAGTCGTAGCAACATGTACCTTTTTAACTCAAAAATTAGCATACTTCTTTGTATAGCTGCAAAATAATTACCCTATAAATCATCGTGGATCCCCGTGGATCCTGAATCTACACGTCAAAAATATATTAGAAGCGGCTTTTTCTTTTTTTTTTTTTTTAACTCAAAGAAAAATTTTATGTAACGGATTGTGTGTCTTTAACATATATAATTTGTTCTAGAAAATTCGTTAGTAGATCATCGATCAATTGCTATATTTGGTAATATCTGCGACTGAAGTGTGAATGTGTAGTGTTTCTATCTAAAACTTTTTATTATTAAGTTAACAAAAGTTTTTTTTTTTTGAATATTAATAGTGAGACCATGTCTCTGTCTTTATTGAAATTTAATTAAAATCTTTTATACAGAA